GATAAAATTATCAATTAATTTATGTTCTGAAAATTCAATGATAATTATATTTTGAAGAATAAAAAATTTCAGTTTGTTTTTCGTAAGTTGAATATTCCAAATTTGATGATAGTTAAAAAATAATAAATGTTTGGCAAAACTCTGGGATGCTTGACTTTGGTGCTATTTCTTAATTTTTTTAAAAACATTTTTATATGCATTGTTTGTATAGTTTGTAAAAATAATTATAATAAAATATTGAATTTATGTGTAATAAAATGGAGCAAAAGTTAGATAATACCAAAAAAAAAATAATTCCAGGTGAATTATTTCAAATTATGCATTGGTTTCTTTTGCACTGTGAAGTAGAGGATAGGGGGGATTAGGTGGAGAAGTGAGGCAAGTGTTTGTAGTGGGAGACAGGAAAGGTGGGTGGTTCATGTGTAGTCAGGGGCAAAACAATTAGGTAACCATGGAGGGAGGAGCGAGGTGATAGATGGGTAAAGACTAAGACATTGAATGGGGATTTGTACGTGAGGAATTTATTTATTTTGGAGGAAAGCATAGTTGGGGGGGGGGGGGGGTTTGGCGTTAGAGAGTGTGGGCAGGGGGGGGCTGGGGGGGCATTAATACGGAATGGTTTTAAGTGCTTCACTCACATACCTTTTTATTTTTGTTGTGGGGGAGGGGGGGGGGGGGGGGGGGGGGGGAGTTTGGCGTTAGAGAGTGTGGGCAGGGGTGAGCTAGGGGGTCATTAATACGGAATGGTTTTAAGTGCTTCACTCACATACCTTTTTTTCAGTCACAGGAGGTGAACTGGATAGAATCACAGTTTATTTATTTCAACAGCTGATAAGTGTACACACTGTATCAACAAAGTGGAATAAGAGTTTGTTCCGTCTCCAACACATTGCGTTGAAGTTTTCAAACTAATCAAACTTTATACTGTTTTCAAGTTAACTTCTTTCCTAATAAAGTATAAAGCCTAACTGAAAATTCGAGTTTTTCTGATATATCAAACATAGTCTCCATTGGCACTATTTGAATATCGAGACATAGGAGTAGGAGTTTAAATCTCATCATGCTTAATAAAAAATAATCTTTATAGTGAAGAAATCTCTATCGCTGAATGCTAATTTTTTATCAGCCGGTGTCGTTGCCGAATATAAAATGAGTAAAACAGAGTAGGGTTAAACCTGACAAAAGAAACGCAACAAAACAACGAACGTGTCGGCAGAAAGCCTTCGTCAGCGAACAAAACAAAAGAAAAAACGGTATAAAAATAAGAAATATCACTTATCTTTTACGTAGTATCCGTGGGCAGCAAAAGAAATGTGTTATGTTTTATTGGTGGCGTACCCGGTAGCAGTTAAACAATTCGGAGGTCGTGCATTGGGAGTCTTATGTGACAAAACATTTACCGGAATAATTACAAAACAATGTGATGTCTATGCAAGCTTGTATTAATGGTCTATGCAAAACAACATGTTAATTACTTCTAATTCTAAACTCCCTATTTTCATTTCCGCAGCTTTCTGTTTTATCTTGTCATTTTATTGTTAAAAAGACGTCGCAGGACGAAACTGTACATTGGAGATGAGTTAAACATCTTCATCGAACCTCGGTCAAATAGTTTCTGCATTGAAATATCAGCCCAAGCAAAGTTCCCCCCAAACTAATGGTCTGACCACCGTTCATTTTGACAGCGCGTTAACCCTGACTGACCGTCAGCTGGACCACGTGTGGGCCACCCACGTGAGCTGGATCACGTGTGGGCGACTCACATGAATTTAAATCAACTTTAAAGTTTAAGTAAAGAAAAAAAATAATTTCATTATTTATCAAATTTAATAGACTCAGTTGAATAAAGGAATTAGATGCACTTCATTATCAGCTGACTGTTGTTGACTGACGCGATTCACTTCTTTCGAGGACCACTCCTCGTTACCAGATCTACACATCTCAACCAAAATATTCACGGGTTGTTAATGCTTTGAAAGAAAAAGATAGCGCATTATGGGTAAGGCGATTGATGTGCAACATTCCAACATTTGTACAGTTACTTGAACCGCTATAAAATGTGTTAGCTGCTCTGCGGTTATCTATCTTCCACCTTATTCAGCACGCATAGTGATACGAGAATGTTGACAAAAACAGCACGCGGAGTAATCCATCGGGCCTATCCCAAATGATGTGAACTTTTTGTAGGTAGTAAACATTTAGAAATTGTTTACATCCCTTAGGCCCTAGCAACCCATTTGTGACTTATCGAAATCTATATTTATCTCAGTTGTTATCCACTGTCACATCAGGAGTGGATTTTATTGTGGGGGATGTAAGGTAGGTTGTTTTTTTTTGCCCATTTAATATCACATAATTCTTGCATAACTAAAAATATATCGTATCTATTGAAAAAAATAAATAGTCATTTATTTATGGCATCCTTGCGTTCTGCATTCTAAAAAATGACATTTTCCCCATTTATACCCCTCTCCTCCCCCCGTTTTTTGTTACGTTCTCACTCATTACTTACCAAATTTGAGTTCAGAAAGCTCTTAGTCTTATCACTAATTGAACACAAACCAAGTTTTAAATCGTTGTACAAGCCCAGAAGGCAGTGGAGTAGCTAGAATTTGAGCGTCTGGGACGGTCCTCAATATATCAATATCGCGCTCATCACTCACGAAAATCCATACCTATACACAGTGGTGTAGCAAGTGTTGGTGCCACCGCCCCCCCCCCCCCCCCCACACACTTTCTCGATGAATTTCTTCTTGTTAAAATTAATCCACATTATAAACATGACAAGCCCCCACACACTTTCTCGATGAATTTCTTCTTGTTAAAATTAATCCACATTATAAACATGACAAGTACAAAAAAAAAATTAATTGAAGACCAGGAATTAGGTCTACATGTATTTAAGAACTATAACTTGTACTTAGAATCACCAATTGGTATTAATGAAATGCTTTCTCAGAATTTAGATAAATATTAATATCTTCCTGTCACTTACGAAAGTCACCCAACACTTCAATCGACGTCAAATCATGGTCAGAGCGGTGTTTTTCTGATCTAATTATAGGGTCACATCATTTCTGACACATCAACCTTGAAATTGTAATAAAGAACGCATTTACATTGGTTTAATTTGGGGAAAATTCACATGTGCTTGGCTACCTTTTTATGAAATTTGGTTAGACTGATCAATTTTTCAATTTGGTGTCACCCCTCCCCCCTTTGAGATGGTTTCAGCCGGTGCGGTCCGCACCCCCTGTCTACACCACTGCCTATACAGAAGGCAAATCAAACATAAGCTATAGACTATTATGTGTATTAAATAGATAGAACAACCCCCCCCCACTCCAGCTCCCTCTGCGCCCTTCTTCATACGCCAGTACTAAAAGGTAATCGTAAAGAGAAATGTTTTGTTAATGTGGCACCACTCTCACTCCAATAAAAATTAGAAGTTTAAATTAGAAATAATTTTTAAAGTATAAATCTTTAGCATCATTTTCCTTTCATCATCCACACCAATAATTTTTAACAAATTTTTTTTTTTTAATTTTAAAAAAAGAAAGAAAGAAAAAAAAGAGCACAAAACCTCGAAAAAATATGGCAAAATAAATTTTATTTTTAGTATTTAAGGAAATGCCATTATCTTAGTGGCTATTCACACCCGGGTACCAGAAGTGAGAGGTTGGGGTTAAAAAACTATTTAAAACATTATTGTTGGGTTTTTAACACACAATGAGGTAGGCCTATCATATGAAAGATAATAATTATTGAATGGACTGTATGTATGTAAAGTTACTTCTTCGGTTTAACTAAAACAAACTACCATTCGCAGTCATTCGCACCCGGGTCCCATTAGACCAAATGCTATTCGGATGTTATTTGTGGTAGTTTATTTTTTAAAAATGAAGAAGTAAGTTTTTAAATATACAGTCCATTCAGTTATCTTTCATTTTATACCTCATTTTGTCTTACAAACCCAACAATAATATTTTAAATAGTTTTTTTAATCCCAACCTCTCACTTCTGGTACCCGGGTGCGAATAGTTGCAGCCTAATTTTATATATTATATACATTTTCATGGCCGTTCGGCATGGTCACACTTGGCAGTTGCCAAGGGCATCTAATTCTTAGGGGCACTATGGTGCCCACGCCCACATTGTTAAAGAATGTTAGTTCAAATAAAATTAATAGGCCTATGGTGAGGGGGAAAAGTTAAGTATATAAAACAAAGCTTTAAAAAAAAAATGAAAAGACTTTCTATAAATCTTTTTTAAAAGCCGAGTTTAAACGCTATAAAAAGTAGAATATAATTTAAAATTTCTTAAAATGCAATACAAAAATTTAAATGAAAGCTTGTGCAGAAATGCAGATGAGTACTAAGTAGGCCTACTATGTAGCCAAGCCAAAGGATTCGCATTGAATGCAGACGAAACTTAAATATGTTTCATTAATTTTTGAAAATATTTTTGCAAAGACGTCACGTGCATTAAGAATAAATAAATAATTCTATACAGCATTTTTTTTTAAATGGTGTTTTTTTTTTCAAATAATTTTGTGAATACCCATTTATTACAATATTAATGTTCGAACTAAAACAAAGACGATGTAAAAACTCTTTCCCTTAGAAGTGTAGGGAAATAAAGCGTTACTTGGGACGCAACTGTCGTAATCAATAAATGATCAATTAATTTTATTAAAGGCTATTCAATATTGAGTTTTACAGATTCTAGTTTAGCACGGTTCCGTTATGCATGTTAGTTTTTATATAGATATTACGGGATTACTAATATTTATTCCTTATGACATTGTGAGCGTGGTACAATGTTAATGACTGTAACTGTTGTGTTTTCACAGTGTAACTATTGTCAATTGTAAATCAGTGGAGTGTTGTAAATGCAATCTCAATCAATATTCAGTGGAATCATTGATGACGCTACTAGTAGACTACTAACACTACTATTAGTAGTCTATTAGTATTCTCTATATGTGTTAAGATTTAAGAAGTAGAGAACTGTCTGCCTTCAGCATAGCATAGATTCAACTATGATTCATGATAAAAAACAGTATTTAATTTAGTTTGGCCAGTTTCTAGGTCTAAGTCTAAGTCAACTAGGCCTAAGCCTAATAGCATTAGTATCAAAGTTTAATTTGAATTCAGCTGGTAACTCTTTAGGACGGTAAGTGAAGTGTAGCAAAGTTATTAATTAAATATTAAATGAATTTAATAGTATTTAATTTACAAAAGGGATAAAGTATAATCATCTTGGAAAAGGCTAAAAATTAAAACTTTCTACAAATTCAATATCAAATTGATATTTCAGACTAAGCCTTTATTACTTAAACTAGGGGTCATCAATAAATGATGTCTTAATGAATTTTGGAAAATTTTGGCTTTGGAACTCATGCTTCCTAGGCCTATCATCTACACACCCTCATAAAATATATATTAATATTATCACAAATTTGTGACCCCTGCCAACCCCACCCTCCTAGGTGCATGACATCATCTGTGGGTGGCCCTTTAACTTTATTACTAATCAATAGTAATTGAACAAACTGGAATATTCAGCTGAAATTTAGGGATAGGCCTACTTCCACTAACAAGTAGGCCCTAAACTAACAAATATAATGAAAGTAGAATAGCTACAAACATTATAAGTAGGCCTTAGTATTATATTAATTATGCCTAAATATAGATATTACAGCATAATGTAGAGGTGTAGAAGCTTTTGTTAAATAGTTGTATTCTGTCTTATAAAAACTAATTTTACATGTATCTTTTTACTATTATTTATTTGCTATAGGCAACTTGCTAAAATTCAGTATAACTGTCAAATAGACCATGTTAACATTTTTAAAATAATGGTTAATTTTTATCTTAATTTTGTCTATCTCTTTAACTTGTAACTGTCACAAATATATGCACTTTAGCTGTGGTTAATAATGTTATGGTCATTGTGGTATTGTAACAGGATTGACTTGAGACATGATCTATCTTCTAACATGGTGACTTATTCATGCATGATTCACTTCACAAATCCTTCATTCATAAATCTAATTCCTAAGCCTTTTCAAAAGAGAGTTGACTTTTGTTCAGGCTCAGGCCTCTTGAATGCATTACTTGTCAAAAGATTTGAATCAAAGCATAAGTTATTAATCTGATGGCTGTACAACTTTTTCATTCATTACAGTACAAGAAAACATGATAATTTTTTATGTCAGTGTTGCAATGACAAGTCTAGTTTATTAATTCAAGTATATTAGCATTGACTGAAGAGCTTCTTTGTAAATTTAGTTTATGACTTTTTGAGTAGAGATTTTTAGTTTTTTTTCATAACAGAAAGTTTTATTATTGTTAGATTTTTATTTATAATGCTAAATGGTGAAAGCAAATAAACTTAGATGAATGCATTGTTTTTTAAATATTTTTCATGACACACAAAAAAGAATACAAGTTTAATTTAGTAAATTCATCTTAACGGGCATTCTTAAAGGGACGTCCATATATGAATCACATTTCTATTGTGGGTGTATGAATTTGTGACAATGGATTTTGATGGCATCTAACTTTGTGATAAATTAACAATGATGGGGGAGTGGGGGTAAAAAATCTGCCAACCTAACTTGACACCATTTTATGTAATATAGTAAATATTAACTTTATATATGATAAAATGTGATTTCAGAACAATAAAAAAAGAAATACCTTATCTTACCGAGATTGTCAGAATGAACAACTTGCTAACTTCATCTTTTGTTGAACATCACATCACACAGTTTCCTGGAACCTTGATACCGGAAGAATGGGGTTTAGTGACCTACAGCGTTTACTACCAACTTGACTTAAAAATGTGTCAGTTAAAATCTCTGGACTATTCTTTCAATTGGGGGGATGAAAAGTAAGAACAATAGAGACTAATTGAAATTCAAGGTATCTCCTCTTGATAGCAAATAAGAAATATGTAATTAATTATTTTATTTTATTTAAATTTATTGTTTGTTTTATGTTGGCCTAAAAACATTAGACTAATTAACAGGTCTTGCTCTGCAAGTGGAAAGTAGCCATTACTGGAAAAAATTCTCCAGTTCTATATATAAAATAGTTTTAAAACTACTCAATATTTTTTAGGTGGGAAAATAAAGATTTATTTTTATTTATTAAGGTCATATTAAGGCACATTCTAGCTTCAAAACAATTTTTCCTATTTACTTATAGTATTCATGAATGTTTAAAATGAAATCAGTAGAATATTCACTGAAATTCATGTAGTTTTTTTTATTAAAAGTAAGATTAATGAACTATTATAAAACTTATCATTTTACTTATATATATTTTGAAAAATACAGAATGCCTGTACCACGAGTTGCATCAGTTCTTGAAATGCCATCAAAGATTATAAAGTTTGATGTTTCCCTAAATGAACTGACATCTCTTTCACATGATGCCTTGGTGCCATTTAGAAACTTAAGAAGTCTTGATGCCTCATTGAACCAACTTAGACAGTAAGTTTAGTTCACATGAAGTATTACTTCTTGGCCTGTTTTTTTTAAAATTTGTTTTAGGTTCGACATGAAACTTTTATAAGCTGATTGTAATTTGTTAATAGTATCGTACGTAACCTTGCAGCTCTTTTAATAGACCAAGATGGTGGACAAATTAAAAAAATAAATTTTGGATACAGCACTGACTTCTCATTAAAAAAGACTATTCATATAAATTATCATTATTTTTAAAGATAAAAAAATGTTATAATTATCTGAAAGTTTTCTGAGGCACCGTGGTGTTATGGAAAATTTAACTGGCTTTTGACCAAGAAGTAAGCAGGTTTTAATTTCATACAAAGGTTCCCCGATTTATGGGTACATTATCCAGGTATAATGACTCATTAGCCAACTAATTCTAAGGTATCTATTCTTGGACAGGAGATAAACCCAGATTATAAAACTGAAAGCCTGAAGACACCAGCCATCTTGGCTTAATTTGAAATTATGCTATTCCTGCAAAAATAGCTGCTAAGTCACAGATATCTGAATAAATCTTGAACCTAATTGTTTTTGATTAAATTAAAATAAATTTATAATATAAAATAGTCATATTAAACTACACATAAAAATTGATAGAATTGTTACAATTTTAAGATAAACTTTACAAATCTTAATATTATTATCAATATTTCAGCTTCCAGGGTATTGAAGTCCTTGAACATCTGTATACTCTTAACCTCTCACACAACATGATTAAACGGGTGGATGCATTACTAAATTCTCATTCATTGAGAGAACTTAATGTCAGTAACAATCACATAGAGGACATCTCAGGGATTCCTAGTCTGATCAACTTACTTGTGTTAAACCTCAACTACAATAAGGTCAGTTACTAAATACGAGAGTCATGGGGCAGTGTTGAAAGAAAACATATTCTCCCAGACAGACCTTTTGTTTTTCGCAAACACGAGAGATATAAATATAGGATATATTTTGGCCCATAAGATAAATTTTAAGCCCTTCATGAAATTTGCAGTTTGTGGTAGTTGAAATTATTTCATTTATTGCTGAAACAAGACTGTTCTTCTAAAATATGACTGTTGAGTTTTTCTCATACAGTTCAACTGGATTGTCCTTTAAGTTATAGTAGAGGAATTGTCTTATATCTCTATTTGATAATTATTTGCCTTTTGTTTCAGAGTTCCGTTATAAAAAAAACATTGTTTTTTACTAGTCTTAATTAAAAATTTGTTCAAAAAAAGTTTGTCGTGTTTTTATTCACACAGCTTAAAAGTTTGGAAGGTGTGACCTCATTTCCAAAACTTGAGGAACTACTTGCTGATAACAATGAGCTGGTACGTTTACTGAGCATTGTGACTGTTCTTTATGAAGTTAGGGAGCTTGCACAATGGTTTTGACTAAATCAAAAGTTAGGTTATAATACAACCACAGCTAATTAAGGAATGATCATGCAAAGTTGAAGCAAAAATTGTGAATTGCTTAATATAACTTTGACTGATGCCTAGCTATTTAAAAAAAAAAACTAGTTTTATTTTTAATGCCTTATAACCTAAAATATGTTCAATGAATCACTTTTGCATGTATTTTCAAAATGAGTTACATGAAAAAATAAAAATGTCGAACAAACCATCATTTCAATTCATTAAAAATTAATTAAAAAAATGTGTGATCAATTTTAATTTTGTATGTGTGTAAATTCACGGAATTGAATGCTTTCATATTTTTAAATAAACTGGACTTTTAATTTCTATTTAAGACAAGATAATATTATAATTATATATTTAATTTCAGAAAGATTTGATTCCCCTCATTAGTTGTCGTAGAATACGGGTCATAAGTGCAGCCAACAACCAGATCCAGTCAGTGGACAGCCTTTTAAGACTTATTTCTCAACATAAGAGTCTTCAGTCACTCAATCTCACTGTAAAGTAACACTTTTTGCCTCAAATAATTAGTAAATTGATTTGTTTAAGATGACGTGTTAACATTCTATCTCCATTTTATATCAATCTATTAAAAAATGCGGTTCTAAAACTTAAATATCTCTAAAAGTTTAGAAGCTTTTTTTCTAACTGTATTCTATTACAAATTAAAAAGTATTTTATTTCCATCTATTATATTTAATAGAAATAATCAAACATTTATTGTTACTTCTAATACAAAGCCAACTAGTTTTGGCATGTAGAGTATCACAATCAAAACAAATGACTGAGGTAAGTGTAAGTTGTCCATGGGGACCATAGCAAGCAGATCAAACCAAGCCTACTGGGTGACTTTTTGAGCTTGACAAGAAAACAATATAATACATAAGATAGAAAAAGATACAAAAAGAAGGAAACAGTGGTTTGGGGTAAAATTCATTTTCTTGCCTCTGGACAACAAATCTGATAACTGGGCCACTACTAGAAATGAAGTGTAATTTTATGTGAACATTTTGAGATATGGAAAACTTATTTTACTCATGAGCTGAATGCCCTTTACTGTAAAATTTCAAAACAGATGTAAAAGAGAATTATGTCATTGTATGCTAATTATTTTTTTCTTACAGGGTAATCCTGTGGAGAGAGAACATACCTACCAGTCAGATATACTAAGAGAAGCCAAAAATATTGTGACCTTGGATAATATTTCTGTTAAACCCATGCCAACTGTTTTGGTAAATCTTCGGCATTTGTCTCAGATTATTTTAGAATCATCTCTTGCTTTCATTTTAATTATTTTATAGCAAATTAATAAATGCACTGAAAAATGCCACAGATGAACACATTTTCATAATTTTTGCAAATAGACCTGATATTAGCTCACATAGAGAGTGCTTTGAAATAATAAAAGACACGGGACATCATGAAAATGAAAGAGCTTCAAAAAGGCTATTACCTCTTAACAATTTATACATAAATTCTATTTTCATAACATATTTTCATATTTTTGGGTTAAAAATCATTATAACTAATAATAATAACCTTAAATGAAGCAAACAACTTTTAACCCTTTCATGACATCAGCAGTTCAGCCAAAACCACTATTTAGTAGTGGAAGTGCTGTAGTTATTTCAATAATTGCAGAAAGTAAATAAGGAATGGTCGTAACACTAATCCCATTCTTTTAAGCCACATTTAGAGGGAGGTATAATTTATTTACTTTGCTACCAATGACCCATGTAACCTTTTATGAGTCAGGATGATCACAAAAGGCATGCAAACAATTTGTACACATTGCAAGATGCAGCCAGACAGGCATTTGAAGACAGGATCAGAGTGGCCAGGCAAAGAATGGAGGAAAATGTCAATTTTTTACAAAGAAGAATATTGTAAGTCAAATTTAATCTTCTGTTTCAGAATCGAAAGGAATTGATTATATTATAACTATAACAATAGGTCTGTTTAAATTGATAATACTATAACTTTAACAATAGGTCTGTTAAATTGATTATACTACAACTAACAATTGGTATATTTGAATTACCATATTTATCGGCGTATAACACGCAATTTTTCTCCCTGAAAATAGGGGTCAAATTATGTGTGCCTGTTATACGCCTATATAATGTTAAGGACTTATAGTACACACGGCATAGCGGCGCGAATGGTGCATGTTATATGCCTGTGCGTGTTATACGCCAATAAATCCGGTAATTATATTAACAATAATAATAATAATAATAAGTCTTATATAGCGCGGTACCCCAGCCTAGGGCTGGGCTCACCGTGCTGTACATAAAAATTTTATCAAAAGAGACATAATCATGACATTAAAATAAAATACATTTATGAAATAAAGAACATTATATTAAATACAAATATTATAACTATAACAATGGGTATATTTGAATTGATTATATTATAACTATAACAATGGGTCTATTTGAATTGATCTAGTATAACTATAACAATGGTCTATTTGAATTGACTATATTATGACCATAACAATGGGTCTGTTAAATTGATTATACTAAAACTATAAAAATGGGTCTATTTGACATTTTCTTAGAATTTAATTTCCCAAATTGAATTTATAGTTTATTATATTATTAACACCTATTTTATTTATGCAATTATAAGACACTTATTTAAAATTCTTTTGAAATTTTATCATAGCCTTGAAATTTTATCATAGCCTTCAAATATAGTCCATCCTTATTAAATTTGTTTATTTTCATCATAAAGATTAAATTTTAATGATCTTTAACTTTTATGTAAACATTTGGGCCCCCATTTAGAGGAGACTAAGCTTTTTTCAATCATGTAACTAAAATAAATACAAGTTATTTGCTGGCTGAAATATTTTAAGAACACACATATTCTGCAGCCAATTATATTTTTTAAAGTTGATGAGATGTATTTGCATGATGTATAAAAAAGTAACTCAGCACTATGTCATTAGTAGCCATCCAAATATAAAGTCATCCTTTTTATGCCAATTTTTTGACACCTCATATCTTTAAAATAAAAAAAAAACAAACAACAGTCACATTTATCACACATCATCACAAATTCCTGACTCTACCCCTTCTGTTAAAATACTCTATTATACTAGTTGAGCATCTTTGAGTATTTTCTGGCAACGCTTGTCGACGGTACTCTGGAACACTGTCTATCAACCAATACCCAGGAATACTGAATATTGGAACACAAACACTTAATGAATGACCAAGTTTCTTCTTTATTACGTGTATCTTTCACCCAGATTCACTTGGTTACAGCATCTCCTCATGACTACACAGTCTATCAAAAACACATTGCCCATCACTCACGGTCGGATGACTATCTCCTAAATCAACTTTTTCTCTTCCACCCTCTCTATCTCACACCTTATATCCACACACCTGTTTATTCTTCTATTCCTTACATCCAGTGATCTTTCAGACACAGTAATAACACTCATGACACAACTCAAGGACCCTTCATACTAAAAAACAGTGATTCTCATACTCCTGACACCCTCTTTTTCCCCTGAGAGGTGTTACATCATCTTTGAATGGCCCCTTAAACTTTTGACTACACTACCTTCAATTTCATGTTTCAGATCAATACAGCAGGAATACAGTGATTTTGAAAAGAAAATGAAATCTGATTTGGAAGCTTGCTTGAGGTTAGCTGTAATTTTAGATCAATAAATAATTTTACATCTTTAATTTAAATATTTCTCAATCTCAACTTGTTTCATCCTTAAATTCTCTTGAAATTTATCAGCATGTGGAAGAAAGTTTTCATAAAATTTTATTTAATTTAAGTGGGCACCAAAAGCATGCAGAATTGTTTTTTTTCATTGATTTACCACACAGAAGTGATTTTAATTCATTAATACTTGTGGTTTCCTAGAGATGGGGTAAAATGCTTCAAATATCTTTTGGAGAGCTAATAAAAATTTTCCGCATTTGATTTTAAAGCTATAAATTCATAGATTTGGTAGCCTTTTTTGTAGTTATTAATAGATCATTTTGTCAGATAACGAGAAACGAGAGTTCCTTGTTCAGTTGATTTATTTTTGGAATAATTAATATCAGGTTCTTGTCTACTCTTGGAGATGTTGAGCTGTCAACTGTTGGCAGAGATCCCATTGGTGCATCTTTTAACAGTTTAACTTTTCAGTACCCATATGTTTTTCAGGTATGCATAAATATAATTTTCTCTATAAGATCCATAATTTATTTACATATCACAAAAGTGATTAATATAGTTGTCTCTTTTTAAATACTTTATATTAAGTTTGCTTTTGTTAGTATGTTTCTGCCTGGCAAAATCTTCAGATGGTTAATTTACCCATTTCCCATCAACCTATCAAGCTGAATCTTGGCCCATAGACTTGTTGCTGATGACAACACTTTCTGTCAAATTTTCAGCCCCACCCCTCCAACCCCAACCCCCCAAAAGTTTTTCCTGTTTTTCAAGGGGAAGATGAAGGAATAATCATGTCATTGATTTCACAAAATAAAATTTCTAATAACTGCACTAAATGAGAGTCTTTGAAAAGAAAATTGCAAGTTCGTTTGGTGTGTAAAAATTTATTTTGCTTTTTTGAAATAGTTGTTTTAATAAATCTGCTGTTTTTAAAGTGGGTGTGTCATTAGAATATTAACATAGTTAAGGGGCATTAAAAAAAACGTGTAGTTGTTAGACGTGTTTTTGTGAAAAGGGAAGGGGGGGGGGGGGGGGGGGATACCCTTATTGGGATTCTTATAAAGTGGGTCACTTGTATGCATGATTTTCTTCAGGCCCCCCCCCCCCCTCCACCCATTGCTTGATATTACATTTTATAAAGGATTTATGTGAAAATCTTTGTTATCCTACACACATTACGCTTATGGATTCGGTTAGTTGTAGCAATTATATTTACTGACTATGATTCTAAAAATATAAAAAAAACTGCTTGAATTTACCTTTACGTTGATATATAATAATTGCATATTATGTTATTTAAAAATTGTTTTTTGAAGTCTCAAACATGGGATATGTATGAATTTTATTTTATTTTCAAAATTAGGTCGATTTTTAGAGTGGGAAGAGGTGTTAATAAATATCAGTTGTTTCGCAACAAATCTTTTTATTTTTACACTTATGTGTAATCGAATCTAAGAAAGTTCATCTTCGTAAAAATGAAAAAATAAAAAAATTGTATAATTTTTGAAAAATTAAGATACTTAAGGGTTGTTTAATTGAAAGTCATCAGCATTTAACTTGTTGCAGTTATGGCTTTAGCTGATAACAATTATAAACACCCTTGAACTCAATTTAATATTTATAAGACACATGCTCACTGTTATGGATTGTTACCAGAGGCTCAACCAGGCCTTGAATTTATTTCTATCACTGGGTTGTAGGGATTTGCTAAAATTCACAAATGTAACAATAAGATGATGAACGCTGCTCCTTTTTTTGTTTGCCAGGATCAGCACAGGCATAGAAGAAGGGACCCAAAGTCAGATTATAGTGACATCAAAGAGACAGATGAGGTAAATAATTGTTTTAACTATTTAAAAAAAATATTACTGATATTTTACATTTTAATGTCTATTTAAAATTTTCTCATTTTTAGGGTGATCAATTTTAATAGATTTATTTCTCTGTAGATTTGAAAAAATCCCACCTGTCTTTATGTAATTTCATAAAAAAAATAAAATAGATTATAAAAAAAAATTAATAAGAATCAATATTATTTCCAGGTCTTGCGAAATGCATTTAAGGAACTTGTTAAAGAGAAAGAAAAGTATTCAGATCTCTAACTAAATAATATTGTGTGGGACTTGAACCCAGTCTTTACAGGCACTGATGTACCCTTACAGTAAGCTTATTAAATATAACTGCACCGAAGAAATCTATTCATTTTAATATCTACGTAATGAATTTTTTTTACTAGTCCCTTCCAATATACAGCTTGATAATAAATATTAATTAAAATATCTATACCTGTTCTTATCAGACATTTGTGTATATTTGGATGCACAAGAAAGATGGCTACAGAGGAGTGGCATAGTGTAGGGGATTGCAATAATTAAAAAAAATGAAATGATATTTATAAAAACAATTAGCCAATGAAAACTTAAGTCTCATTAACTATCAAATATAATTTAAAAAGAAGTTATACTTGCATTATTTCTGGGGATATTTGACACAGAATGTTTGATTCATTTGATGAAATTCTGTTGTTCAGTGTTACTCTCAATGAGCCAAGGATCAGTTTTTAAATGTGATGGTATCCTTAGATAAAAACTGGACTTTATATAGATATGTTTGGCCAATGGCTAGAGACCATCCCGTGACATCATTTGCGTGTTTATTATAGTTGCAGTGAATTGCGGTTTAGGTTAGGCATAGTATAGGGATCGATTTAGGGTTACATTAGTGACAGAATTAACTATTTGTGTCAACCAAGATGGCGGCCATCTCGGACATTCTCTAGCCATTTACCATATGTTTAAACTAAGTTTCATTATATCTTAATAGAAATGTTATAATCTATTGCATATTTTTTTTCATAAAAGCCTAGTTATAATAATAAACTGATCCCCTAGGAGGCTTAACTCTTTAAGATTATTCTTGACAAAAATGTATAATACACAACAATTCCATCCAAAATACATAATTTGAATTTTACCAATTGTGCATTTTCTCAATTGTCCAAAGGTAATGCAAATTTGAACATTATTCTGTGTCACTTGCAATTACTATTCCATGATTTTTGTGTGCTTTATTACAAGCAATCTGTTATACACTAAATGACATTTATTACTGTATGTCCAACGCCCATTTACTCAATATCTCTTGTTGAATAACCATTATTAATTGAGCTACAGCAATATTATCTGTTTGAGCTGTATATCAAAACAATTTCAATTTTTATATACATTTTTAGTGATAAGATTTTGTATTAATTCATTTTTCAATAAGTGTTCCTCAAAGTTTGTATGATTTCACATTGAGTTCTTGCATGTGCAAAATGTAAATAACCTGTCTTACATCTTGTTTTAAAGGCTGGATTGGAATATAGAGAGTGCTAGAGAGTTTTAAAGAAACATGAAAAATAAAGACTTAATGTGACATTGATAAATTATAAAATTGAAAATATGCTTATTATATATTTATCCATTCCGTATGGTACTACAATTTTTTAAATTTTGCATTATTTGATATAAAAAAAGTAGATCAATCCTAATATTTTATGTTATAAAATAAATTTTCAACTAAACAAATGTTTTCTCCCAGTTTGAAAATGATATCATTTTTTACTTACCTGCAGCACATTCAAAATTAAGTTAGCATTCCCCTTTAAAATGTTGTAGTTTATTATTTTATTAATAACCCATCTTCCAATGGGTCCATTTTCATTTATTCATTTAATAGATATTTTAAAAAATTTTACCATGCAAGAGAGCTGTTTTCAGAATCTGAATATCATTTTGTAAAAATGACATAACATGTTGCCAGCTGTACCACGTTGCCAGCTGTGTATTTTCTTCATTATGCCATAAAACAATCAGGAAATGTATATTTGAAAGTTTCTTCAAATTGAAGCAGATTGTCCTACATATGTTTTTTTGCATTTTTTATGGATTTTAAAGGAAAATAATTATTTTACAATAATATTATTTTATGAATTGCATTGTAATAACATTTGATACATAAATATTTTTTATTGGTGCATTGCATCAGTTTACTAATTTTACAAAAAAAATCTGGTTTATTAAATTTTATTTACAATGTATATATTGGCAAGTGTTTATTTTGATTACATTTACCTGTTTTTAATAACCCTTGGAATGGGAATAAAACATGCACATTTTATTTTGTTATACATTTTTATATTATTCTATTAGCGTTTCTTCATACTCTAAGTCTAAGTTTCATTCTTTTAAAAACTAATTTTTCAATTAATTTTTCAATATTTTTTTTGGACCTACCATTCATATTTGATTTCATAAATTCACTATTTAGGAAACTGTCCCCAACTAATAGTTATGAAAAATATTTCTTTTGATGTCCGCTGGAGTTAAAAAAGTGAAGAATGTAACACTCTGTTTTAACAAAAATATACTCAGTGCTCATACTGCAGTTAGAGTATTTTATTGTTGTAAAAATGGCACAATATTTTAAAAATACAGTAGATTTTTTTGTACAGAAAAGTTAACTAGGAAGACATGTCAAAAGGAAGTTTACAAGGAATTAGATGGCAACAAAATGATATATTTCTACAACAAACTCCTTTAATACACATTTTTTTTTTTACAAAGATACAAGCAGAACAGCTGAAAAAGTGAATTTTAAAAACAGAAAGCTGTTTTGAGGTAAAGGAAAAAAAAAAAGTTTTAAAACAATTTAATATTCATTTTTTGATTTGTTTTTTAAAAAGGCAGTTTTTTAAAATTATTTTTTAGCTCAGTTAGTGAATGGCAATGCAGATGTTATGTCATATTCTTGCTTGAGTTTGACTATTTATGAACTTTGAAAATCATGATTTTTAAATATTCCTATTCAACGAAGTGGAAATTTATCTGACTTGGTGAAAATTTAGCAAGGACATAAGTGTTATGATTTAGATACTGGAATTTGAAATTACCAGAGAATATCTTTAAAAATAATAAGCATAATATTTTAATCTATTAATTTGATGAGATACAATTTCTGAATCTTAAGTGTTCATAATTTCATAAATTTAAATAAATTGTATAAAGAATATTATTGTTCTGGATCATTTAAAAGTGGATGGGATGCATTTAAAAAAAAAAATGAAGTCTTAATGCATTCAGCAGCACCAAATTAATTTGTTTAAAACTTCATAAAAATTAATTTGAATATCTTATAAACAAGTTGTATAATTATTTGCTAACAGTTACTAATTTCTAAAATAAAATCAACTATCCATGGAAAGCAAATATTAACTGATCCTCTTTTGTAAAACATTGCAGATCCCTGCTTTGACTTCTAAAGCTTATAAATACTGAATCTGACAAGTGTCTGAAATACTCTAGAGAAGCTTCATTAAACAATTGAGTAAGATGGTAGAGATACATTAAAACCTTTTAATAAAGCAACAACAACATAATAGGTTAAGAAGATAAAGCAACTACATTGCCTGGCTATGTATTACTTAATAATGGATAATATCCGGTACAAGCAGCTTTTGACTTTCATTTTATGGGTACAGGAAAAAAAGGATTATTATCATAACTAGAACATCATTTACAGCCGTTTTCAGATTTCATACTTAAGCTTTGATTCTATGCACAGGGTAGACACACTTTCCTCATTTCAGTTAGAAGCGATCCCATTCAGCAAACGGGTTATAGCGCCATCTGTGCTGGTGGGGCTCATGCAGCAGCACCCTGTCAATTTCAAGGACATTTCCATTTGTGGCCGTCTGGTCACACTTGACCACATGGGCGTGGCCCACCTTGGGGATGTCATCGTGAGTACGTGACAGTCTCAGATAGTCATCGGACACTGTCTTTACTTGAGAATGTCCAAACCATCGGCCACGGAAAATTCCAGAACAACACAGATTATCTGTATAGAGAAAACAAAATTAATTAGAATCACTGGACCACTGGTTGCTCTTTGTAAGAAATACAGACGGTCAAATATTTTTTTTAACTTTAAAAAGTATAAAACAATTGATTTGTGTTCCTTGTGAAGTCAATTTACTTTTTTAACTCATTTTATCAAATGTTATTTAGTTTAAATCACAAAACAAAAAATGTTATGGTGCGATAAATAAGGGTATGTGCACCAAGTTGGGTTTAGATCCTTCTAACTATATAGTAGGTCCTGTAGTAGAAAGTAGTCCTTCTAACTATATAGTAGGTCCTGTAGTAGAAAGTAGTCCTTCTAACTATATAGTAGGTCCTGTAGTAGAAAGTAGTCCTTCTAACTATATAGTAGGTCCTGTAGTAGAAAGTAGTCCTAACTATATAGTAGGTCCTGTAGTAGAAAGTAGTCCTTCTAACTTTATAGTAGGTCCTGTAGTAGAAAGTAGTCCTTCTAACTACATAGTAGGTCCTGTAGTATAAAGTAGTCCTTTTAACTATATAGTAGGTCCTGTAGTAGAAAGTAGTCCTTCTAACTATATAGTAGGTCCTGTAGTAGAAAGTAGTCCTAACTATATAGTAGGTCCTGTAGTATAAAGTAGTCCTTCTAACTATATAGTAGGCCCTGTAGTATAAAGTAGTCCTAACTATATAGTAGGCCCTGTAGTATAAAGTAGTCTATGAAGAACCAGTATATATATTCCTAGCCTACTAAAAAAATTTAAATTGCATGCAATTGAAGATTTATACAACAAATAAATACCTCCACAATCCAATGTTACCTACCAGCAAACAAGTGTCCCATTTATTACTACTCATTTATTACCTACCAGCAAACAAATGACGTTTCAATAGAGTTTTCAGCTTCTCAGGATCTTTTCCAAAGCTGCTTAAAACATCCTGATCCATTTTTTCAAAGGCCTATTTGTAATAATATAAACAGTATTAAAACTAGTTAAATTATAACGATTTCCCATTTCTCATAAAATAATAAATATGTAACTATAGCTATTCTGTAAGTAAAAGTTACCTAAGGTCTGGAACAGATGAATGTAACTGTACATTGAAAATAATACAATTTAGTTTGGAACTTAATAGTACAGTGAAGATCTATTGTCTCAAAATGAAGTGCTTTCTTTCACTGATAGAACAATGAAGGCATATTTTATATATATATATATATCAAATTTTGAACAAATCATTCAGTTGCCTTTGTGGAGGGAAAAAAATGAACCAAATAACATCTTGAATTCATTTTGATGTCTGAGCTGTAAGCTCACAATCCCCCTTCACAATACTACTTTCCCATTTTTTAAAACATGTGTTTTAACCCTTACCTCATTGTTAGGAGCAAATACTGTTATGAGGTAAGCTTCTTGGAGAGAATCAGCCAAGCCAGATTTTTTTATAAGGGATACAAGGGTGGAGAACTTTTTGTCTAGGGCAAGGACATCGAGTACATTCCCTTTAGGAGGAATCATCACCTGAAACAAGGAGAAATGTATATCATCATTCAAAGCGAGGAACACTGAAGTCTGAATAAATAAGAATTGTTCCTTTGTTTTGATGATGGCCTTAAATTAATGCTTGAAGGATCCTGGATTTACTAATGATGAAATACATGCAACTGTTTAGCAGCAGTCTAAACTCTCACTAACGACTGCCACATAGACTGCTACATATATTTCATTTCGGTTAAAGTAATAGTAAGCAAAAGTAAGTCAAGGATACTTCAATTTTTGTTATTTGAAAATAATATAAAAAGAATGCAAGTAGACTAAGCTGAGTACTACATTTCTGCTCTCTGAGATATGTTTTTTTTTGCCTCAGAGATGTCAAAGACAAACTATCAGCATCATTCAATCAAGTAAATACTGTTCACATCACTTATATAAGAAAAACTGCACAAGAAAAATTGAAACTGCACCTGTTAGTCATAACAGGATAATGCATACTTACAGATTCAATGACATTGATTCTTCCATTACAAGCATCAATATTCATCTGAACTATTGGGACACACTGGGCCGTTTTAACAACTCCATGGTGATGGTAAGGGAACTGAAAATTAAAATAACATACTATGTAAATATGTCCTAATAATGATGAATAAATGAATAATCTATCAAATAAAACTCAATAAAAAAGAAAATATTTCACTGGACAGAATTACATTAATTGGGACGATATTTATTTGTTAAAATGTTTTAACTACCATGTGATGGGTGAAAAGTTACAAGTTGAAGCTTGAACC